GGAGGAGGAGGAGGAGCAGGAAGAGGAAGCAGCACAAGGTTCCTCCCTCCCTGTATGTGCAGTCCCAGGAGTGTTTCCCTGCCCACAGTCAGCAGGTGACTGGAGAGAGGGATCCACGATTTTCACTGGGCTGAATCCTGTTGTTTCTGAGCTTTATTGGGCTAAATGTTGGTGCTTTGTCTTTTTGCAGGGGCTGAATCTTTCTATGCTGGAGGGGGTTTTGCCTGAATTTGGTGTTTGATTAGTTTTTGATCTTTTTGATCTAGTTTTGATGTTTGGAGGATGTCTGGGCTGAATCTTGGTGTTTTGGTTTGTTACAGACACAAGATGCCAAATGACTTTCTGAGATGAACTTGGGCATGGAGGAACCCCCAGTTCAAGGCTCTCTCCTCTCTTTTTTTCCTCCTCATCAGGAATTTTCATACCGTGTCTAAATGGAAGAGGAGGAGGAAAAGTCCTGGAGGTGCCACACAAGGAAGGGCTGCAAACCCAGCCCAGGGAGCTGCGAGGAGGAAAGATCCCCCCAGTGCCAGGAACACGGCCAGAGATCCAGCCGGAGCTCAGAGCTGGGGGAGAAGCCCCACAAGTGCTTGGAATGTGGGAAGGGCTTCAGAAAGAGATCCCACCTCATCCAGCACCAGAGGATCCACACTGGGGAAAAGCCCTACGAGTGTGGGGAATGTGGGAAGAGCTTCAGCCACAGCTGCCACCTGATCCGGCACCAGGTGATCCACACTGGGGAAAAGCCCTATGAGTGTGGAAAATGTGGGAAGAGCTTCAGAGATATCTCTAACCTGATGATACACCAGGTGATCCACACGGGGGAACGGCCCTACACCTGCTTGGAATGTGGGAAGAGCTTTGGGTGGAGCTCCTACCTGAGAAAACACCAGTTCATCCACACTGGGGAGAGGCCCTATGAGTGTCCCCAGTGTGGGAAGAGGTTTCAGCGCAGCTCCCATGTCCTCCTACATGAGCGGATTCACACAGACGAGAGGCCCTTCCGCTGCCCCGACTGCGGGAAGGGCTTCAACCGCAACTCCAACCTCACTCTCCACCGGCGCATCCACAGTGGGGAGAGGCCCTACGAGTGTCCCCAGTGTGGGAAGAGCTTCTCACAGAGATCTAACTTGACCCAACACCAACGGAGGCACCAGTAAGGGAAGCCCTGCGAGTGCCCCGAGTGCGGGAAGAGCTTCGTGCGCTGCCCCAGCTCCATCCCCCATGGGAGGATGGGCGTTGGATGATCCCCAGTGACCCCCGTTGGGCAGAGCCCTGGTGATCCGTGGTCCTGGTGATGCGTGTTGGGAAGACACCTGGCTGGGAGGCTCCACATCTTCCTGGCTCCCTGTGGGCACCTGGATGAACACAGGTGCAGGAACATCCACTGGGACACAGACCAACAATGGGAATTCCTTGGGGAGAGTGGATTCGTTGACTTTTAATCCTAGAGAACCTTTTCCTGCTGCCTCAGGAGCTCTGTGGGCAGAGAAAAGAAGGTGATACCAGGCTTGAGGGGCCCAAGAGGAGCACACTCGCTCTATGGGGAGGGAGGACACGACCCCCGGGTTCCCCCCTCACCTTCCTGCGCAGGCAGAAGCCGAGCCCCAGTGCCAGGAAGACGAAACCCAACACGGAGACTCCAATCCCTGTCAGCATCTTGATGCAGGCAGCATTTCACAGCATCCGTGGGTGTCTGCAGGGTTCAGGACCCCCAAAACCTCTTACAGACACCCCAAGCCCCTCCAAGGACCCTCCCAGTCTCCCACAGCCCACCCAGGACCCTCTGAAACCTCCTTTGGAGTCACTAATTTTAAACAATTAGTAATTTTAGAAAAATTAGGGGTCTTGGCTAGAGATAGGCCTTGTTGGAACTAGTTAGAGTTAATGATGAAGTGAGAAGCAGGATTTGAGATAATGAATCTCAGACTGAGGTAAAAAATTCCTTTTCATTGTGTGTTTGTTTTTCTGTGCTTATAATGAGAAAAGAGAAAGTGATAAACGGGTTCAGGAAGATCACAGACCTTACATCTGGAAACCCATTTCAAAGTCACAAGGGAGGAAACTGGAGTTGTACCAAATGTCATTTGTAATGTTAACCATTGTAAAGGTAGAAAGGTGAGAGTGAGGAAGAGCGGTTTTCCTTCATCACTTGATGATTCCTCTTTGCCAAAACGACCTCCTCCTCTAATTAGGGCGCCCATCACGCAGGCAGAATGACTTTTTAAATTCATTACCGTACATTTTAATACGAAGTGGGGAATGGGAAATGTTAGCATTATGCATATGTATTGGTATTAATATGTATTAGTATTTTGGATATTTAAGACTTTTGTACATAAATAGACACTGGAATCTTTTGTCAACTTGCAGTGCATATTAAGGGGTGACTCCTGCACTTACCCAGTGCTGGGATTTAAACATCCACTTTGTAACTTTAAACTGTTGGAGAGGTTTTTTGTCCATTAACAGATTGATGTTGATACTGGATCAATATTGCTATTTTGGTAAATCACTGCCAGTCTCTTCCCAGCCTCCCCAGGACCCAGCAGAGCCCCTCCTGTTCCTCTCAGGATCCCTCAGCCCCCTCCCAATTTCTCCCCACTTCCCCAGGACCCCCAGACCCTCTCCCAGTCCCTTCCCAGCCCCACCAGGACTCATCAAGACTCCTCCCAGTCTCTTCCAGCACAACCAACCTCATCCCAATCCCTGCTTTCCAATGCCCAATCTCCTTCCAGCTCCTCCAGGCTCACTCAAATCCCTCCCAGTGACACCCAGCACCCCCAAACTCCCTCCCAGGGTCCAGCAAGACCCCCAGAACCCCATCCCACCTTCCCCAATATCCTTCAAACCCCTTCCCAGCCATCCTAAGCACCTCAATCCCTTCTCCAGTTTAAACCAGTCTGTCTCAAACTCCCTCCCAGTTCCTCCCAGCACACCCTAATCCCCCTCTGGGCCCCCCCAGTGCCTCCCCTTCTGTCCCCGACGCTGTGGGGGCCGGGCCGTGCCCCAGTGC